ATATGCCCAAATTGACCAGGGTTTGTGCACCCTTTATACTCCTGGCCCCAAGGGAGCCTTCCTCCATGGATATTACATCACCAAGCTGCTCCACCCAAATTGAGTATTACAACACTCAGCTGCTCCATCCAGAAATCGAACTCCCCACCCTGAGTTGCAAGCCCAGCAGTGTCCATCCTTTGTCAACTTGGATGTGCCCCGGGGGGCCCAAGTAGTGATTATTGAACTGGATCATTAGATGTGGAAATTACATAAAATCAGAATTTTTAAATTAACATTTCAAAAGTCAGATTGGAAGTTTATTTTTACGTAAATTAGAACATAGTTGAACATTTAAATATTAATAATAATATTTTAAAAACTAAATTAATCTATATATCCACCCCAAACCCTAATTTTATCCTCTCACTCCCTCCTCTCTCTGTGGCACCGGCGCAACTGCCACATGACACCACAACGACATGAGCGGCGGGGACGGCGGCATAATCTAGTGTAAGAAAATCTGAGAGCGGTGGGTGGCTTTCAACAGTGGCGATGATGGTGAATCTGCTTGGGAGTGTGGTGGTGGTGTTGATGTTGTTTGTGGTGGTGGTAGTAGTGGTGGTTTGGGGTGGTTTTGGTGTTGTTAGGGGGTTTTATTGGTTGTGCAGATAGAGATGCGGTTGACCGGAGGTGATGTTGGATCTGGCAATGGTGAGCGTGGCGATGGGTTGTTGAGGTTTTTGTTGGTGGTACAAGTGGAGGTCTTGGCAGAGGTGGTGGTGGTAGACGATGGTGATGGTTGCGGCTGTGGCGACGATGATGGTTCTCTCATCTCCCCTCCATTCTCTCTTTACTACCGTCTCTATACTCTTAAATCGAAATCGCTGCCGCCATCGTCACCGTTGCAGCAACCAGCTTGATGTGACGGTGGTGGAGGCGACGACGATGGCTGTGACGTGATGGTGGTTGCGGGGTGTTGGGCGGTTTTGGATTTGTTTTGTTGGTGATGGCGGTGAGGTGGTTTTGATGATGGCGGTGGATCGGCGGCAATAATGATGGTGGCGGAATTAGCGGGGGCGGTGATGTATTGTTATCGTGATGGTTTCTTGTTAATAGGTATGTGAAGATGTGTAAGTTGGATAAGGTAGTTGTGGTGGTGGTGATAGCGGCGATGGTGGAGGCGGTGATGATGGCTGTGAGGTGATGGCGATTGTGGAGTGTTGTTGGTTTTTGATTTGATTTGTTGGTGGCGGCTTTCGTGGTGGCAATGACGGCGATTGTGACGGTCACAACTTATCAATTTCGAGACGATGGTTTTGTTGCCGGGAGATGGTGTTGGTGGTTCTGAAGATAGTGGTTTGAGCTGTTGCAACGGTGTGGTGGTGGTCACAAGCGTTGGTGGTGATCACAAATGATTTAGTTAATTATGACCAATAAATTGGTTGATGTGTGACCAATAAATAATATGTGACCAATGAAATAGATAAATTGTAACCAATAAATATTGTGTTAAAAATTTATTAATTTGTGATCAATAATTTGATAAATTGTGACCTAAATATAAATCGTGATCAATTAATTTGATATTTTGTGACCATAAAATAAGTTGTAACTTATGAAATTTGTGATTTGTAACCAATAAATAATGTTATTATTAATTTGATAGATTTGTGACCAATGAATAAATTATGACGTACAAATTTTTTATTTTAGATAGATGAACAAATTGTGACCTATAAAGTTTTTGAATTATGACTATAGATTAATTTGTGACCAATATGTTATATGGAACTGTGATCTTAATATATTTAATTAATAAAATATATGTTTAATTAATTTATTTATAAATAAAATTAACAAATATATGAGATTCGAAATT